GGCAAAGTCCGACCAATAAGAGTTTTGGATACTTTTGGTTGGACTGAAATTTATATTCAGTCCCCTAACAAAGCTTCAGCTTTTTGTTAGGGAAAAGCAAAAGCTTCCTGCAAAAGAAATTGATTAGAGTGAAAGCAAAGTCAAACTGCAGTCGGGACCTCTGCAATGAGCTGACAGGTCTGACAACGCTTAGCTTACTGCAAATACTTAAGCAAATAAAAAATAGGCAGGTGAGAGATAGTTCACAAAGAATGGCCAGGTGATGCAAATTTCTAAGGGATTTTCAAATAGTTGTCTTACTTAGCTCAGAATGGAAAGTAAAAATGGTTGCATAGTTGTCTGCTTGGTGTGAAAACCCTATGGAGCTTTGAGCAAACTCTTCTTTGCCTCAATGAAATTTGAATCAGAAACCCTTCTTTGCATTCTTAGGAGGAAAACTGAGAGGCAAAGCAACTTTGTTTGATCCAAATCAATTTTAAATCAACAGATTACAGATTCACTCGTTACAACGAGAGCAACAAGCAGATATAGAACTATTGGTGATACAATGAGCACAAACTGTAGGAGAGTCAGAAAAATCACTTTAAAAAAAAGAGGTGACTTCGTTCATATTTCTTAGTATGCCAACAGTGAAGGCATGTATTCACAGAGCCCCCTTATCAAGGGAATCAGGGTTTTTATTTTATTTTTTTTTACATACTTCATCTCAGAGGACATACAGAATGTCAGCTGAGATGAACTCATGTTTTTGTGCTGATTTGGAAAGAGGGAAAACATATCTAGGAGCGTGATGACAAAGAAAAGTTGGGATTGTCATGGGACAAGCTGATGTGCCAGCCTGATCAAACATTGAGCTTCAGGTTACCTTCCTATTCACAAGGTGCATGTTTGAGTTTCATCTCCATGTCATTCAAAATAAAAACATTCTGACAAGATTCTTGGAAAGAGGAATAAATGATCAAGGTGTCTGTTTGTTTTACATTTGGTAGGGTCTATACGACACTGTTCATGTCACCAAAAAGAGTTGATAAAAAAAAAAAAAAGTTTTCCTCTCATTCTCAGAGAAGCAATTGCGAATTATTAACAGGTGCTATCAGGTGAAAGGGGAAGGGGACAAAAATTTGTGCCAACATTTTTTTGTTGCTATTTTGGTCTGAAAACTGCAAGCCCTCTCATTGGTAATCCACAATTTCCTTTTTCAAAGGTGTAAAAAAAAGATGATGCTACACAGAGACCTAATTTTCTTACCCAATCTTTTAAACAGGAAACAAACTAGAATTAAAAAAGGTAGGCGTGTGTTGATCTTCATGTGTCAGATAATGGCTACAGCACAGCCAATTGTCTAGCCTTGCCCATATCTGCAGTGAGAGCAGTAATTAAAAACTTAAACTGTGACAAACAGGGCTGCACAAGAACTCAAGTTTATCTTTGCGCCTTGCAGTGAGGAGGTGGGTAATGGAAAAAAGGGGTAGAGGGACTTTGCTGCTAAGAAATAGCGATAATTCTACAATCAAATACATATATGCTTAGATAAATGTGTAAATAATTTTCAAGTTTTAATCAGGGGTTCTTATGCAGTTTAGTACATAATCATATTCACAGCATACTTGCTATAATCTACAACAATATGCTGCGTTTACTTGCGTCAACATAGCAACTTAACTAAATTCCTTCAGTACAAATATGTTGTAACAGTAAAGCATAATCTTGGAAAGGTGCTGCATTTCCAGCAGAATGCATTTGACAACCCATTTAGCATACTTTTAGCATGTTTCGAAGGTTATGTGTTGATGAAAACATCTTTCTCCAGCTGCAACTGACACAATCAGCAAAAGATTACAAAATGATTCCTCTAAACAACCTGAAAATAGAAAGCAATCTTAGCACCATGAAATTCCACAATAGACGCATACGAGCATTTAAGCACAGCAGAGTTCTCACTCATTGGGAAAAGAAATCTGCGGATCTGCTTTGTACTTCCTACTATTCTCAAAATTCCTCCGACACACTTTTAACTCCGTCTCCAATCAGAGAAGCCCAAATTGCAATCTGCTACACAATATGTTTTGCTCCACTTTATTAGGCCCGAAGATAAACCTCGTGGATAGAACACAGGCATTTGAGTAATGAACGCTCCCTCAGCATAACAAGATCCTTCCCTCCTTATGCTCTCCTCCTCTCAATTTGCTGCATGTATGAGTTTAGTTGGTCATTTTCCTGATGCACTTTTAGAGCAAAGCCATGTCTGCTATGATAATGCAGCAAAATTTATTCATTTCTGCATCCTGCCTGCATAATAAGGAATTAAAAGCTTAACTCTTGGTTTAATGTCGACGTGTCCGTATGCAATCAAGGGTTAATAAAATAATTTGCAGTTCATGAGTGTGAGATGTTTAAGGTACTTTATGTAAAGTGGGAAAGTTTGTACATCCTGTATTCTGAGGTAATTAATATCCTTAGCCACCGTGAAATTCAGAAAAAAAAAAAAAAAAACCATCTACAAGATCCAGCCACTGATTTTCAGAGGTTTAGGCCAGAGGACAGTGAACATTGTTTCAAAAGCCTCGGCTCATGTTCATATTGGATTTTCAAGCCAATTTTGGATCATTGTCCTGTTGTCTAAGCCAACCTCGTTTCAGCAACTCTACTGGCTCCAAGACGGCTGTATCCAGATTTTGATATTTAGCAGAATCCATTCTTTCCTCCATCTGTTCTTTGTTTGCAGTGCCATCGACTGATGCAGTCGAGACAACCACTTCCACCAGTTGGAAAGGTATTTCATCAACAAATTCAATGACTTATCCTCTTTTAAAACATATATTTTGTAAATGTGACAAGAGCTTATCCAGGTGTTTCTTCACCAACTTCTATCATTTCTTAATACTGGCAAATATGGACCTTGAGGGACTATACACAATCTTTTTTTCCGCTGTTACTAGCATATGGAAGTATGTTTTGCCTTTGTGCCCAACAGATGTCCAGATCTATCAGACTTCTCTCAGTCTGTTGGAACTTGTTTCTACATCAGCTGTTACCTTGCACTGTTTTAAATGACAACCAGAACAGTGGAAAACAAATCTAGGCAAGAATCCCTTTGGTATCTTTAAATAATCTTCCCATTTTTTGTGACATTAATTAACTTCACTTTGAAATCTCAGTTGCTTTAAGGATCACAGATCTGAGTAAAAGCAAGGTGTGAGGGGAGCACTGAATTTGATTGAAATGCCTCAACAAAAGCAAAAATCTAATGAAGTTTTGAGTGCTTTACGTTTATGTACATTAACATTTAAGGAAAGGCTCACAGAAATGTCTCTGCTACAGCAATGGTGTTTGCTTTTTTTTCCATGTTCTAAATTAGCAGAGCTCAATTTGTCCAAGCATATCTCAGCATTTGCATACTATACGTGACCTTTATGTGTAAAAAATATTGTCTGCAAATTTATTCCAAATCTGGTGGCATCTGTGTAGCTGGTGCAATGCTAATAACCCAAACAACATGGAAATCAAAAGTATGTTCCAGCATGCTAATTACCTGAGAAATACCACATATAAGAAACATAGGTGTGTGGGAATTGAGGATTAAAATAATCTCTAAAGTTAAAAAGAAAAACTCCAGCAATAAAAAAATATAGTTTACTCTTGGGTGAAGTGGAAAATGAAAAGGCAAGACAAAAAAAAAAAAGAAGCTTTTCCTCTAACTCACACATTGAACTGATGACTGCCAGACTGGTGTTCCAACCTCACAGAGAAGCATAAAACACCTCAGTTTGATTTTGAACTGAAGCGTGCTGCTGCCACCCGAAGCTATATCAAGGCCTCTGGAGGAGCTCAGTTAGCAACTGCTCTGCTTTCCCCAAACGGTTGTTTGCATCGCTGGGGAGATGTTTGTCTTTGGCTCTTTTCCAAATAAGGACAGTTGTGGCGCTCCCAGCACTGAATAGATTCACCAGCTGCCAGGCTAAAGCAAGCAGACCTCGCCAGATACTGGGTTAACTGGTCTGCAGCTTTCTCTTCCCCAACTGTTCATTCTTGTCTCTGCTTGGATTATAAAAGACTTCTGGGTTTAATCTTTAGTATAGTCATGTACGAGACATTTATGTAATGAAGGAGGCATATGTTCGGTGCTATGCTGTTTAGTCTTTTTTAAACACAGTCAAATTCACACAGGTTTTTCACAAGGTTTTAGTCTGCAGTTAAACTGTTGGAAATATTTAACCATCCAAAGGTATTAAAAAAAGAAGATAAATTACTTTTTTCATTTTCTATGTGGATGATGAGGGATTTAAAAAAAAATAAAATAAAATCTAGGTAACAGTTGAGTGAAATGAAGCCTATTGTTTGATCAATTATGTATACCGAAACAGAATTTCCCAGGAAGCCATGAAAGGTGCACGTCTTAAGGGGATGTACACCTCTCAGTCAGATGCAGATCGTCCCACCTCAGGTGTCAATATCGACCAAAATAGCTGCTGCTTTTACACAGAGGCTGTCTGCAGAGTGCATTTACAATATGCTCACACACCTGTTCCAGTACACATTATGATCAAGCAGTGAAATGAGCATTGTGTCTGTGGTTAAGTTGCTGCAGTGAAGACCAGTACTCCAGGGGATTACAAAAAGTTAGAAAAAAATTTTATATAAAAAAAAAAAAAATACACTGGAAGACAGACAGGTAACAGATGATCTGAACTCCCTGGAGCTGTGTTGATTGTCTCACACCATCCTCACCACAAACATGATTGGAGCTTTACTTGCTGACTGGTGCTGCAAACTGGTGTTCAGTGGTTGTGAGGTTGTCTGCACTTGTTAACAACTGGGAGGTGTTTTGATGGTTTTAAGCTTGTCAGGGTTTTTTTCAGGGTCAGGATGTGAGGATGTAGTCAGTGCTTACCTTCCTTTAAATCTGCTCCAGAACTACATGTATGATGACCATGAGCAATGCTAAAGATAAAAAAAAGTACATACACAGATGACATTACAAAAGAATATTCACAAAAGGCAAAAGAAAACTGCTTAAATTTTATTGTAAATATTTCAATAAAAGCGAATACAGATAGACAAAAACATGTATTTGACGAGTAATGACAGAAGGAATGTTAGAATGAAGATAAACGGCATCTTTAACAGCGCTCAGACAATACTTCGGCTTTTTCTGCAAATTTAGGGGAGGCACACAAAAATTATGAAAAATCAGTGTGCAGAGACAAAATACAAAAACAAATTGACATTTACTAGAAAAACTACACAATGTTTCATTTTAAAATGTTATACTTTTCTAGACTTAAATTTCTGCATGTCTTATATTTGTTTTTATACCTTTTTGGAAATCTCAGAAAATTTGATTAAATATTAGAAAACAAAAATGGAACTGTGTGGCATTCAATCTTTTTGTAAAAATGATAAAAATACAAGATTTGCTCACATTTGACCTGCATAAGAAACATTATTCGGTTCAACCAAGATTTAGAGTCAATAAAAAGTAGTGAAAAATTAAAAAAAACCTCAGCATTTAAATTTTGTATGGGTATATATTCAGTCAACAGGTCAAAAACCCAAATACAGATGTATAAAAAGGATTAAGGACAGATGTATCAAATCAAAGCATTTTATTTAAATATAAATCAACATAAGATAAACAATAGCAATAAAACAAATCACTATGTATATAGCAGTTTTAGATATTTGTCCTTTTTGGGGAAAAAAAGGAAGGAGAAAATCTAGAAAATGAAACATTTGATTATGAAAGAAAATACAGTTCTTTGAGGCGTTTTTAAGATTGTGCAGAAATCTTGATTTAAGTACCATTAAAGTATAATTATGGCTTAATTCTTTGTCCATTATATTTCATTATATACACTTTTAAAGGTTCTTGGAGTATAAAACATATCAAAATCTTAGAAAGGAGTAAAAGTACAAATATTGCAGAAGAAAAAAAAGCGTAAATGTTTTTATTAACAAATATAATTTATTGTGTTAAACTGCTAACATACAAAGCCAGCATCTAACGCACAATCTAAAAAAGCACTAATGTGAAAGTTTTCTGTAACACTGCAAATCTCTAGAATACATAGAGCTGCTTACTTCTATCTATTTTCTACTACGATGTGCTGCAGCTTCAACAGCTTTGCGTAAATGTACTATTTGTATTTGATATTATCATATCAGTATAGAGCTGAAATTGTCTGGTTGATATGTAGCTATGTTGGCAGTACACATATCAGGATCATATTCTGCTAAATCTTTTTGGATATAATTATGTTTTTAATTGCCGTTATGTAATGAAGGATTAAAATCCGAGTATTCAGACTCATTACTTTCATTGTACTAACTGTGTGGCGACTCCTTCCTCTATTTAGAAATGTTGGTCCTGTGAGATAATGTTTTATGCTCACATAAAAAGCATTTATTTATTTATTGCTGTATTGTAACATTTTCTTTCAGTGATAAGAAATTAATCTTACAATGCTCTGAGTCTGGCCAGTAGAGCCTCCACATCAGGTTCTCCGTTAGCGTCGGCGGCCGTCTGGAGGACGGGACTCTCCGCTTTCATTTCTGGCTTTCTCTCAGCCAGCTTGACCACTTCTCTGTCCGCCGCCCGTTCCCTGTCCAGCCCACGGCTGTCACCCGGAGTGTTTTTGTACTTTTGGCCCACTTCAGAACAGGTAGACACCTTGGCCCTGGCTACAGACGGATAGCCTTCAGATTCATTGCGCACCTCCCTGGCAGGGGGAGGTTTTGACGCCGCCGAGCTCGCATTTACATTCTGCCGGGAGCGAGACCTTTGCAAAGGTGCCTTGTTGTTTTCTGCGTGAGAAAAACAAAGGCAAAGGAGTGAGAACAATAGTGAAGAGAAGACGGAGGAGAGCAAGGAGGAGGGAAAGCGTGACTCGTTAAATGAATGAAAAGCCAGAGAGGTTAATCAGATTAAAGATTAAATTACAAAGAGGAGAGGCAGACGAGTGACTAGAAAATGTAGTGACAGTTACAACACAGCAAACATAAAAGTATTAGAAAGTAATAAGCACTTTAGCAAGCATGTTGACGTGCAAAATAAATGGTCATGCATACAGTTCTTCTGGATGAACAGACATAAATACAGTGTATATGCACATTGATGAGGATAGATTTTCTGCAGCAGACTGTGGCGTGCAGCCAACTCGCGATGATGAAATGGATATGGCTGATCAACTGCAACAGAAACTCAATAACATAGTATGTTGGCCTTTTCCAATCTCGTATTCTCTTTCACGTTTTCCTCACAAGTTGCCCCCGCAACTGGCTCCACCTCCCTCGTTTCCACCATCATCATCCATTCTCCTTTTGCAGCATCTCTGCTCGCACAAAAGTCCTCTCTATCTTTTCTTATTCCTCCAAAACATGTTTCCGGGCAGACAGTGGAACAGAGCGACGCCCAGATGCCAGAATCAGACCTGCATTCTGATTTATAATCCCTGTGAGTAGATCTTAGACTTCATCATCAGTATGTGCGCACTGGAAGAGGAGGCGAAATCCATATTCATGTGACCTTGAGTGTGAGACTGAGAGGAGCGGCGAAAGGAAAGGCGCCGGCGCATTTAAAGTTTCCCGAGCCTGAAATGTCTGGCAAACAGGAGTCAACACAGCAGAGCAGAACACAGCGACCCGCTCTGTCAGCCAATCGGTAATGAGTTTGGAGCGTGGCCAGTCAGTCATGACAGTGTGTTTTATGGGCCAAGCTGACGAATGACAAGGAACGTCCCTGAACACCACCTCTGACAAATAAATAAGGATAAAGGGAGCAGAGCCGGGAAGAAGGACCCCAAGTGCAAAATAAGCAAAGAAAGCCAACAATCACACACACACACAAAAAGCAAACAAGAGGCAGTGAGGGGCGAAATGAGTAGCATGTGTTTACTTTGCTGGTATGACTGAACATTAACCAGAGCTGAAGATTCAATCCTTGGATGACTGTCTCACTCTCTTTTTGCCTTTTCTTCCTGTTGTAACAGTCTGAACAGTAACAGCTAACAATTACTCTCCGCAGTCTATCCGTTCCCAGTTTGCCCATCACATCCTGTTCTTTTGTCCTCCCTCTAAAACTCTGGCATCTGCAGCTGTCTTTCTTAGCAGCACCACACAAACATTCTTCCTTAACACATAAAAAAAAAAAATCTCTCAAATTCAAAGCTGAAGCTGTGAGAACAATGCATTGTGTTATTAAGTATTTGCATTTTGACATCTCTTTTAAACCAACACCAGGGAAAAAGGACAGATATTCATTGTGAAGAAATTTTAGGATGAATTTTTATTAGCATACATTTTAATCTCACTTTCAGGACTTCAAGCAGCCTTAATTATTATTTCTGAAAATCTACAATATGTGGTATCATTACATATCTACATTTTGCACTACAAAAAGAAGCAAAAATAGGAAAAATGCATGCTTGAATAAGATGTTTTATCTAAAAACCCATTTTTTCCCTTCTTTTCCTAACAGGGATTTGACTTTAGCACTGAAGATGATCAAAGAACTGGCAAGTTCAGTTCTTTCCTCATTCTGCCTGCCTGTGACACCAAACTGCCCCATCCTTTGAAGCTTCCCGAGCTTCTCAACATATGCCTTCATCTAAGCTGTAAAACACATCAGAGAAATGTAAAACATACCTAATCTCACAGGTTGGACTCATTTAACAAACAGCTGACAAAGGGTGGAAGGGAGAACAAGTCAAGTCAAATTTTAATCAAATTTGCTGCTCTGGACAGCCTTGGGTTTGAACACTAGACCAGCACAGGTTTTCCATAGAACGCATGCTGCGACAGCGCGGGCAGCAAAGAAAAGATCAATCTGGTCTCCAAGCACGTACCAAATCAAATTTAAATAGGTTCTCGGATACCATGTCAGTGACCCAAACCACAGTAACTGGCCGACTAATGGTGGTAAGGGCGCTACATTAATCAATATTGAACTGTTTTAAGGTTAATTAGTGATTGCATGAACAACTTTCTAAACAATTCAACTAAACATTTAGGCACGCTTGCAAGCACTGAAGTTCGATCACCTGACTGTTTGAAAAAAGTACATTGTAAGCTGACTGCCCACATGGCACATGCGAGACATAGAAAGTCAATCTTTATTTCTTTTTAAATCAGCTCAACTTTTCTCACATTTTGACCTTGTTAGCATACTTTTATTCCGATATGCCTCTGTTTATGGCACGATGGGAAATATCAAGAGAGCAGTTTCTAAAAAAAAAAAAGAAAAAATAGTCGAGCCAGAGATGCAGATTAGTGCGTCCATTACCACTTTTACACCCGGCTGATGTTAAATCACAGAATTAAGGCTTGTGGGAGGAGGTCAGAGTTTGCTAGAGAAGGGGGCCTGACTGATTAGCAACACTTTTCAAAATGATCAGCATGGACATCTGATCAGATTTGGAGCAGAAAAAGACAAATTATTTCTCCCACACTTAACAGACCTCAACCCCCATTCCTCCTAAAAAAAAAAACAACAACAACAAAAGCAAGAGTTCTCCATAAATAATTAGATATAACAAAAAGAGTATTCAGTAGAATCCCCATGGATGCTTTCTGCTTTTATATATTGACAGCTCTCTGGCGTTTATCTTAATTGTCGTTCAGTTTCAGCTCTAAGAAAAATAATTTGGTGCATGTCCGTGTAAATTGGGTAGTTTTTTTTTTGTTTGTTTGTTTCACTTACTGCCTTTGACCAACAGCAGTTATGGGGAAATAGGATTAGCTTTTTTTGTTTCCTGCAGCAATAATGGTGTCTTAGAGCTGCAGTTTCCTTTTAAAACCGTTGATGGTTAAGATAGACGAATATTGCTTTTGTGTTCTTTTAAATGATTGACAGGATATCTGGAATATGTACTCTAATCTATGTATGAAAACAGAATACTGATTTTCCAATATCAGCACTCATCTTTACACTTTGAAGTGGCAGTCCATTCGAAAGCTTTTCCTGTCCCATAAGCCTGAGAAAAAGAGCTATGTTCAATTTTCACAAAGCAACAAACAGCACTCCACATTTCCGTTCATAAGATCATTTGTTCCATTTATATTTGTAGCTTCCAATAATGCAGATGAGCCTGAACTCGTTCATCTCCCTCCACCTCCCAGGTGTTCTCCTCCTGTGTGGAAAAGTTGGTACGCAGGCAGGAGACAGTGAATTATGCAACAAAACCTGGCTGCATATTTCACTGTGTGATTCAAAAAGCCATAGTGCCATATTTGCAGTAACAATAAACTCATCTATTTGACTGGCTGTGAAGAGACTGGGACAAAACAGTCAACAGATTCGGAAGACCACTATTTTCCAGAGTGCAAACCATAAACACAATGTGATTGTACTAAAATACCAGTCTATCACAAACTTCAGTCCAACGCTGCCCTTTAGTTTCCTGGAAGGCAGACTTGAGAAGAAAAACATTGATAAACGAGCTGGCAGACGGAACTTCTCGCTTTCAGCTTCTCTGCAAAATGCTCTTTAAAATTGAGTCTCAAAGCCCAGAGCCTTTTACCCAGCGACTGACACCGCTTCTGTTGCAGCAGAAGACAAGTAAAATCTCAAATCAAACAGACATGTTGCAATTCTAAATGGCTTGAAAGCATCACTGGGAATTTCAAGATGGAACAATAGTGGATTTGCCACATATCTAATAAGACGGCATTCTGTGTAAACGTAAAGGGCCAAACGAAACATTTGTTTATTTTTCCCTTCCCCCTGCACATAACTGCTGAAGGAAACACACACTTTCTCCTTGCTTAGATCATTTGGTCCGTTTGCATTTGCCTGTTCAAATATAGATGTAGATGAGCCTCTCCTCTGCTCTTTTTTTTCTGTCATCTTTTATGACATTGGGTGCATTTGATCACTTTAAGAAGAGAGTAGTCATGAAGACTCAGAAAGAGGCACAGACAGTGAAGGGATGTTTTCCCTCAAAGCAATGACTGACACAACGAGTTAAACTTAGCAAGATCAAACATATACTTACTTACACCTGCCATAAATCAAAACGCAGCTTGTTGGCAATGTGTGTTCAGTGTACATGTTGACTTTCCCGACTGTCTTTTACATTTGCAAGTGCACTTGAATCATGCAACAAACAACAAAACCTTTAAAGAAACGGGAATAGTTCAAAATATAAATAAACAAATATTTCAACCAGCGATTAAACTGTCAAGTGTTTGATTACTTTTTAATAGGAGGTTTAGGAAAACAGCAAGAAATTTTCTAAGCCAGTTTTTCACGGCCATAGTTAACACTTTCTAATTGCTCTTTTTGTACAAACTGACAAAAATAAATAAAGCGGAAATACTCTCGCAGGCTAAAATCAGAATAGCTGACATGTTTTCCGCTAAATAAACGTAATAATGACTGCGCTGTCTAGTAATTATTATATGAAAGGGATTTTTTTTTTTTTCTGAAGCGCCTGTTGATAATGTGCAACATATACAATGATGCAGCCTTAATCTGCAGCTACTATGTCTGGGAGGATACATTTATCTTTTAATTTCATACTTTCTAGGCATTTCGATGCTGACTCAATAAGAAAAGCAATGATTTAACAAATGTAAGTGCTACTACAGCTTTTGATGATTTTGCTTATTATTTAAACAGGGTGGGAAAAAGCTATATCATCAGCTTTTATAGGCTCTATTATTGTATGCTTAAAAATAAATAACTTCAAAAGAAAATTATGTATGGTGTAGCAGATTTTATTATAAGAAGTCTGATGTATCTAATAAAGGAGGGTTTTTCAAAGTTAATTATAATACATTCTATTTAACTTTGATGCATTTAAAAA